TATTTGGAGTTTGATATTGCAATGAAGATTTCAGTAAATGTTTCCAACTTTCATGTACCGTAGGTAACGAAGCAGCTTGATTTGACAAGCCAGCATGGACAAGCACAGCTCAATTAAACCTGTGCAGAGTCCGGCGGCACAGGTCGTTCAACAGTTACTTACAAAGGAATTACCTCCATTGATGTGGAATCATTGATAAATCTGCTGGTTCTTGAATTGACTACAAAGGCTGAGTGGCTGGACTGATTGAAGGGCATTACCACGTTTCTGTTTCTATATCGCCGCCAAGATTTCATCAAGCTCTCGCGAAATGATTTATAGAAAAAAAAATAAATTATCGGGTTATAGAAATTGGAGGTCTTGGCGAACATTGCCGGAAAAGCGGCGAGCAGGGTCGGGATGTCTTTGGCGAAACCGAAGGCGGCGTAGAACGACACTACAGCATAGGGCGTCCACGCGAAAAAGAATCCGATGACCATGACAAGAGCAATCTTGGCCATCTTCCACGATGCCTGAATGGTTTCCAAGGTAGCGGCGGCGTTTGCACCCCAAATCTTTTGCGCGTTTCGTGTCATGTATCGCATGTTTAAGAAAACAAGGGTGTAACAGAACAGGATGGTGGCGAGTGGTCCGAAGTAGAAAAAGACAAAGAGGCAAATGACGTAAGCTGTATCTGAAGAACTCGTCGATTGCCATCTGATGGAGCAAGCAATATCTCCTGCTTCTGCACCATAGGCTGACCAGCCCATCAGCGGAAACACGCTCCACATGAGAGCGAAGGCCCATAAGCCGCCAATCGCTGCCAGCATACGGCCCGAGCCATACTGTGCTTCCATTGGTCGAGAGATCACTAAGTACCTATCAACTGCAAAAGCCGCATGATGCAACATGGAGCCCAGGCCCAAGAAAGTGGATATGAAAGCATAAAAAGTGCACGAAGCTTCACTGAACGACGTACTCCCAGAGGCATTGACAGCACCTCCCACTGGATTTACCACCACTCCCATCAGCCAATCAGATATGGCTATGCTGAGGACTAGCATATTGGCGGGAAAAAGGAGGGAATGGTCCATGTAGAACGTCAGGAGGACGATTGAATTGAGGAGGAACGCAGCGAGCGCCAAAACGATGTAAACAAACGCGATGGAGTGGTGGACTGTTGGGCTGAGTACAGTTGGAACTCCACCTTCCATATCTCGTGTAATATAAGCTTACTGGATAGAAGGAACTTGTCAGGGCAATCACTTGCTTCTATCCACTGAACACGATCGTTGACCTAAAAGAGAGAGAACATAAATTAATATTCGTCCGTTTCACCGTGTTTTTGCTCGGTCAAAGGTACCACTTCCTTACTGGTTGTTGATGCGATTTTTTGGAACACACAAATCGATAGCTTTTAATTGGTATATCATACATGGGTCTTGGGTACAGGGTCTATTTTTTCTAATTTAAAAATTGGGACAGAAAGGTTTAAAGAAATTGGGCTCTTGCTACTCCGGAATTATTTTGGTGTACTCCACTGAATTCAAATCCCCTTTTTTTCAGTTAGTACGGACATCTGCCGTTAACAACCACAACCAAGAATTTTCTCTCTCGTCAGTAGAGCCACGACGTTCATTTATCAGATTTTCCAAGTTCGTATTTTCCGTTACAAGGATGGCATGTTTACTCTTTGAACAGATCCAATTAAACCTATTGAAGTTTGTATGAAAGTAAGTGTTTGCTGTTTATGTAATCGAAGGAAGTAGATCAGTAGAGTTGCAATTGTGATCAATTTAATTGTTAAAGTACAATGCACATTCAAGATTTTGACTCGTTTATCACACTTTTTCTATGGTTTACCAGTTAGTACGCGCGTTGTGATTGGTCAATTTAGCGAGCCGTATTCTACTATACGTCTCGCTAAAATTTAAAGCTGTTTTCGCTGCCAAAATGTTTCGTGATTTATCGCCAAGTGTTCTTACTTTTTATAGCAAGTAAAAGTTTTAAACTTTCTCCTACTTCTAAAATTGTGTATTAAAACCTGCTAACGACTTAAGAGGCTGTCTGTGGAAAAACCAACCACTCGATTTTCGGCCGAAAACAGAATTTCTTCAAATGTTCTGAGCGAGATAATTAGTCCATATGATAAACAAAAGTAGCAATAACTTGGCTTTAGTGCTATGTTTCAATAAATCTGGCGACGATTTTCGAGGACGGTCCAAAACCGTTAAAATCGTTCTTTTTCGAGTAAAATTTAGGCGTTACGCTGAAGGCGCTGAAAAATTACGCTTTTACTCATATACAATAAAACTTACAAATCATTTTATTTCATGCTTCATCTTTTGATTAACGTTAAAATATTGAAAATTAACTTTTTGAAAATGCCCCACAAAGAGCCTTGGCAAAATTTAAGCGGACATGCTGCTGATTGAAGGAGTGTTTTTCAAAAGTATAACGTGATCTGGTGCCCTGACCAATATCCATGTTTAGTACGAGGGCTAGTTTACCGGGAAAAGAAAAAAAAAAAAAAAAAAAANTAGAGAACTTTCAGAAAACAAGACAATCTCAGTAAAACTGTTCAACGTTGACTTGATTGGTGCACGTAAGTCATAGTTACAAAAGGCCCAATGCTATCAAGGCTTCCTTTTCGACATACAGATACCACCTTAAAATAGGCTCTTACGATCTATTTACAAAGTAGAGGTGTCTTGAGCGACCACAATTTGGCGGTTTTCAATCAAACAAAAAGTTATCAAAATTCCCAAGGTAGAAAGGATGCAGAAACAACACGAAAAAAGGAACTAAATCCGGCATCATGAAATTGTACAGTAATTTTATAAACCCGTGAAATCAAGTCAAGACAAATAGATTTCATTCGATCCTATCTTAATTGCTTTCTTTGTTCTGAAAAAATATCTTCTATCAATTTTATTCGCGGGTTTTGCGAATAAATTGCTGTTGTGATCGCTCAAGGAATAAAACCTCTCAAACCCTTTCTGATAAAAATGGCAGAATTTTAATTAAAAGCCAATGATTTTGTACTTGTCTCTCGATCGCAAATAATATTTTAAAACCCGAGAAACAAAAAAAAAATTTAATGATTGCCTTTCAATTTGAAGTGTCGCGAGCTCAATTCTATCGTACCAAACTGCCATTTCTTATAAGAAAGGATTCAGTGTAATAAAATTCCCCAATGATATTCTTATCTTTGTGTTTTCACTCAAGCTTCGGACTTTCCATGTTTGAATTCTTCCGCTCCTGGTTTCTTGAGATTTCTTTCCTCAGGAGTCTTCTCTCTAAATGTAGGAGGAGATAAAAAGATGTTGAGAACAAATCCACCGTGTGCACTATTAAAGAAAAGCATTTATGTACGAACATAATTCCAAGTGAAGTGTTAAAAATGCGCATTGGGAAGACAAATTAAGTTTGACGAAGAAAGATTTTTAATCATGAAACAGGGTCGAACTTTCGTAGAAAAATGATGACCACAAAGTTATAACTTAACGAATGGTTCTTACTATAGTTCTCTTTGCTAAAGCCATGAGGCGTTTCCCAAAGCTTCGAGGCGAAACGTTAAGCAAGTCAGTAAGCGCACGTGTTTGGATTTGGAAAAGCTTTTGAGAAAAGACTTCGCTCTACATAGAAATAAAATGCCGAAAAAGTAGAAATTTACCATAGCCAAAGATTAGAACGGTGTGAAACAACTTTCCCAGCTGCCTTCGATGTTTCTTCTTCCAAGTTTCTTCTCGTGAAGAACACAGAGATGTACATCTTATTCCGTCCGCGAACTTCTCTGACTGACACACATCAGCTCGGAACCGCGTGACTCATCATGAATATGGAAAATAAGTTTGGATCAATGGTTAACAATCAGGCACATAGCGACAACGCCTCTTTGCATGCTTGCATTTTTATCTGCTCTATTATTGTCTGCATTGTTTTAAACCGTTAAACATTCACATGATATTTAAATATGGCGCTTTCGCGTGAATTTCTCTTTTAGAAAAAGTGATGTAAAGATTTAACATAAAAGCGTTCTCACAGAGAGAATCGAGGGCCATTTTTTTGCTGGTTTCAAATCGAATATCCTTTTTGTCATTTTTACACGATACGCAAGAATAACCTTGTGGTGTCTTTGTCCTAATACAGTAAACTTGAACAAACTATCCCCATGAATAATCTTTTAAAAACATTCAGTGCGCAGATTATATTCGCAATTCTAACTGAACGTAACGGAACATTTTTTAAGCGAACTTTGCCAGTTTCATAAGAAGATCATTACTTAAGACGCCATTTCTTGATTTTTGCAACTTTAAAAACGATTAAGTTTTTGTAATTTGACTAATATCTTTGTGGCTGCCTTAGATCGATGGATGATTAAGCTAGCTCTGCGTACCCGAGAAAATTTCACCGTTGAGCTTAAAACATTAACTGGGACTGGGACAACCCACGGTTATTTGACTGTGACGTATATCCCCAGAGTGGGGATTTTGATCAGACATCATGTCCCCAGGGTGGGGAATTTTGGCATGGTCGCCATCTTGGATAATAGAGAGAGTCTGGAAATGAGCCGCCATCTTTAAATTACCCAGAAGGCATTTGGAAGAATTTCCCGCGTTCGTTTCTTTGCTTTCTAAGCCAAAAATTTTAAATTTAAATTTTTAATGCCCGTAGCTATAGATTTAATATTGATCTTTCAATCCTCTGCGAATATACTGTTTTTCTATCGGATTTTGAAGGAAATACTTGTGCAGAATTGTTACTGTTCTGTAAAAAGTGTTTTATTACAGTTTGTTACAAATAGCAGAAAAGAATTAAACCATTTGTTGCTGTTCTGTTCTGTTCTGTGATGTTTTAATGTAGTTTTTTTACAAACAGCGGAAAAGAAGTCAACCATTTGCTACTGTTCTGTAATGTTTTAATGCAGTTTTTTACAAACAGCAGAAAAGAAGTAAACCATTTGTTACTGTTCTGTAATGTTTTAATACAGTTTGTTACAAACAGCAGAAAAGAAGTAAACCATTTGTTACTATTCTGTAATGTTTTAATGCAGTTTTTTACAAACAGCAGAAAAGAAGTAAACCATTTGTTAATGTTCTGTATAAATGTTTATTGAGTCTTTGGTACGTTATTTATTGCTTTCCTCTTGTGTGCAACAAGGACTGAAGCTAGGGCATATGACCGCTTTCCCTTGCCCCAGGGTGGGGGATTTTGATACTTTCGACAATTATTTTTTTGCCCGGGGGTGGGGATCTTGATAATTTTTTTTTAGAAAATGTCAAAATCCCCAGCCTATGCCCGACCCCTCTCCCCTCGGGCTTAACATTGATAGGTGCGTTACCAGTCTACCACGTCATATCCAATCCGCGTCGTGGAGTACTTGTCGAATAGACCGTATAAGCGACGTCATAAAACGAGCGAAGTTAGTGTTTTCACTTCTGATTTCGCTTTATCCAGTTTTATCGGAGAATAAGTCGCGACAATTTCCGAACTTTCTGAAAGCTGCCTCGCGTGTCGTTGCGTTGCGTGACAGGTTACCGCGTCATGTGTTATGTGTCTATGCTCTCATCGGTCGTAGCTCTCGACCAATGAACACACTAGAACTCTGCTAGTTATTTAGCCTGTGAGAACTGTCAAGAGACCTTACTCGTAGAGTGCTAGATATTCTAAGATCATCTGATGTGTTAGTTTACATGCCTTGATAATTATTGGTAGACAGCCTTGCATGTGAGGCCCTCACCGGAGAAATTAATGGCGGAGTTCCTTATTTTAAGCTCTGAAGTTTATCGTTGTGTCTTATCGACTCAGCTACGTTTATCCACGTCTGTACTGAGATCAAGAAAAATCGCTTTTTAATCGTTTTTTAATACCACGAGGGTCTCTTGAGCAGAAGCAAATACAGCTTCGGAGATCTTTCTTTAATCTTTAATCTTTAACACAAATTCCAAATTACATTACATTGAACAAGTCAATCCAATGAATTTGAGGACAGCTTGAAAAGGGGAACTCTTAGACTTATATTGTTATCCTTTCTACGAACATGTCACTTGTATCTCACTTCCTTCTAGTCTGAGTTGGCTCTAAGCCATGACTGCTTCTGGGCCCAGCGACACGAAAACCACAGGAGCCTACAGGGATGAACTACTCTTTTGCTGTTCTATTTGGAGTTTGATATTGCAATGAAGATTTCAGTAAATGTTTCCAACTTTCATGTACCGTAGGTAACGAAGCAGCTTGATTTGACAAGCCAGCATGGACAAGCACAGCTCAATTAAACCTGTGCAGAGTCCGGCGGCACAGGTCGTTCAACAGTTACTTACAAAGGAATTACCTCCATTGATGTGGAATCATTGATAAATCTGCTGGTTCTTGAATTGACTACAAAGGCTGAGTGGCTGGACTGATTGAAGGGCATTACCACGTTTCTGTTTCTATATCGCCGCCAAGATTTCATCAAGCTCTCGCGAAATGATTTATAGAAAAAAAAATAAATTATCGGGTTATAGAAATTGGAGGTCTTGGCGAACATTGCCGGAAAAGCGGCGAGCAGGGTCGGGATGTCTTTGGCGAAACCGAAGGCGGCGTAGAACGACACTACAGCATAGGGCGTCCACGCGAAAAAGAATCCGATGACCATGACAAGAGCAATCTTGGCCATCTTCCACGATGCCTGAATGGTTTCCAAGGTAGCGGCGGCGTTTGCACCCCAAATCTTTTGCGCGTTTCGTGTCATGTATCGCATGTTTAAGAAAACAAGGGTGTAACAGAACAGGATGGTGGCGAGTGGTCCGAAGTAGAAAAAGACAAAGAGGCAAATGACGTAAGCTGTATCTGAAGAACTCGTCGATTGCCATCTGATGGAGCAAGCAATATCTCCTGCTTCTGCACCATAGGCTGACCAGCCCATCAGCGGAAACACGCTCCACATGAGAGCGAAGGCCCATAAGCCGCCAATCGCTGCCAGCATACGGCCCGAGCCATACTGTGCTTCCATTGGTCGAGAGATCACTAAGTACCTATCAACTGCAAAAGCCGCATGATGCAACATGGAGCCCAGGCCCAAGAAAGTGGATATGAAAGCATAAAAAGTGCACGAAGCTTCACTGAACGACGTACTCCCAGAGGCATTGACAGCACCTCCCACTGGATTTACCACCACTCCCATCAGCCAATCAGATATGGCTATGCTGAGGACTAGCATATTGGCGGGAAAAAGGAGGGAATGGTCCATGTAGAACGTCAGGAGGACGATTGAATTGAGGAGGAACGCAGCGAGCGCCAAAACGATGTAAACAAACGCGATGGAGTGGTGGACTGTTGGGCTGAGTACAGTTGGAACTCCACCTTCCATATCTCGTGTAATATAAGCTTACTGGATAGAAGGAACTTGTCAGGGCAATCACTTGCTTCTATCCACTGAACACGATCGTTGACCTAAAAGAGAGAGAACATAAATTAATATTCGTCCGTTTCACCGTGTTTTTGCTCGGTCAAAGGTACCACTTCCTTACTGGTTGTTGATGCGATTTTTTGGAACACACAAATCGATAGCTTTTAATTGGTATATCATACATGGGTCTTGGGTACAGGGTCTATTTTTTCTAATTTAAAAATTGGGACAGAAAGGTTTAAAGAAATTGGGCTCTTGCTACTCCGGAATTATTTTGGTGTACTCCACTGAATTCAAATCCCCTTTTTTTCAGTTAGTACGGACATCTGCCGTTAACAACCACAACCAAGAATTTTCTCTCTCGTCAGTAGAGCCACGACGTTCATTTATCAGATTTTCCAAGTTCGTATTTTCCGTTACAAGGATGGCATGTTTACTCTTTGAACAGATCCAATTAAACCTATTGAAGTTTGTATGAAAGTAAGTGTTTGCTGTTTATGTAATCGAAGGAAGTAGATCAGTAGAGTTGCAATTGTGATCAATTTAATTGTTAAAGTACAATGCACATTCAAGATTTTGACTCGTTTATCACACTTTTTCTATGGTTTACCAGTTAGTACGCGCGTTGTGATTGGTCAATTTAGCGAGCCGTATTCTACTATACGTCTCGCTAAAATTTAAAGCTGTTTTCGCTGCCAAAATGTTTCGTGATTTATCGCCAAGTGTTCTTACTTTTTATAGCAAGTAAAAGTTTTAAACTTTCTCCTACTTCTAAAATTGTGTATTAAAACCTGCTAACGACTTAAGAGGCTGTCTGTGGAAAAACCAACCACTCGATTTTCGGCCGAAAACAGAATTTCTTCAAATGTTCTGAGCGAGATAATTAGTCCATATGATAAACAAAAGTAGCAATAACTTGGCTTTAGTGCTATGTTTCAATAAATCTGGCGACGATTTTCGAGGACGGTCCAAAACCGTTAAAATCGTTCTTTTTCGAGTAAAATTTAGGCGTTACGCTGAAGGCGCTGAAAAATTACGCTTTTACTCATATACAATAAAACTTACAAATCATTTTATTTCATGCTTCATCTTTTGATTAACGTTAAAATATTGAAAATTAACTTTTTGAAAATGCCCCACAAAGAGCCTTGGCAAAATTTAAGCGGACATGCTGCTGATTGAAGGAGTGTTTTTCAAAAGTATAACGTGATCTGGTGCCCTGACCAATATCCATGTTTAGTACGAGGGCTAGTTTACCGGGAAAAGAAAAAAAAAAAAAAAAAAACTTTGGGCACTAACGTTTTTGAACTACAGGAGTTCGATCAACATAGCTAATATTCAGCCGCGAAAGCATCAAAGATGTCCTCCAAAATTGGGAATTAAAAAGCTAAAATGAGCGGCTGCGGTGCAAGTTACTGTTATCTTCTGTCTGGCCTAAAAGCTGTTTCGGCTGAAATTGGGTTAAATAAGGTTTGGTCTATATGTAAAAGGACTCTCATATTTAAAATTGGATATAACTTACTGTCTAGCTAAAAAGGTAAATTATTTATCGGACAATTATCGCTTGTGTACTTCAGCTTGTAAAACCATTTCCGTTCACTTGGTTCATTAAAAAGAAAGAAAAAACAATCGATAAGCCGTATTTACCACCCCCAATACATTCTGAAGTAGACAGTTTGTAAATTTGTTTTCCTAACGGTGACATTCAGATGCCTAACAATGTGGATAGGTTCACTACCAAATTATTTTTCCGATCTCTTGAAACAAAGGGAACTTTAAAATATCTAAGTATCTACTTCAGCTGTACTGACACTGTCTGTCTGAAACTGTTTCTCGTCTCGTGAGATTTCGCAGAGGCAGTAGGAATCATAGCAGATTGGATGTCTAGGACTGAGTTGGGCGGATGCGTTTTTCAGCACCCCATATGCCTTTCTTGTTCTTCCTCCTCTGCGTACACATCCTCTATCTACACCTCTTAGTTCCCCTGTCATCTACGTGTGGCTGCCAATCTCGAGAAGCCTTGCACTTGACTCATCGTTAGCCAGTCTTTTCTTTCAAACATACGCGAACCATCTGGGCTCCTCGCGGTTCTCGCCAAGATGACCATCAAGGTAACTCTCAAGCTCAGTGAATTTCTTATACACCATCTGACATCCAGGCTCAGAGTAAAAGAAGAGACCGCTGCTTTGTTCGTGATTACTTGACATAGCTTTATGGATTCGAGCCTCCTTAACTGAGAGAAAGTCTACATCTACAATAGATCTGTTGGACCTCGGGACTTTACGATGATCTCTTGGTAGGGAAATAAAGTAAATGATACGTATCGAAACCATCTACTTCTGAGTCTCATTTACTGAGCAAACGCAAGCAGCTGTGCCTTGAACAGAACATTCGGAAAGCGATGTACACATATCCTTTGTAGAGAGAACGTCGTTTCACTCACTGCAATATCGTCGCATCGCTGATTTCATCGGCCAAAGTATCCTGTCGCACACATCTTTACTGTACTGTGGCTCGGAAAGTCATACTGCGTGACAGTAAGACCAACTCGTTTCCCAATATCTCTTACGGCCACAGTGAAGAAGTTGTTGAGGTAACAGCCTGCTTTGCCACTCCTAAGACTCACTCGGGTAATCTGGAGGTGATCCTTTTTTACAACCTCCATTGTGTTTTCAATGATTAAGCAGACTGCATACCAGTCCTGCTGGCACGAATCAAAGATGTGCGCATATGATTTCAGCTCAACGTTGCCAGTGCTAGCATTCTTTGTTATGACCGTAGATACGTGCCAGGTAAGGCCTCGTTTTCCGAACCAAACGGACTGCTTCTGACGGTACTTCATTTGAAGAAAGTTCATGGCCCAGTCCATTATTAGAATAGCTTACGTGTCGTCGGCTGTGATCTTGTTTAGCCTCTCAGGCCTGGTTTATCGAACATCTTGCTTTCCACAGCAAGATGTCTGACTTTGCGCGGTCAAAGTCATATAGCAGATCTTCTCGTTGCTCTGAACTTCCTGATCCGTGTTTGCAAAGTACCTAGAATCTGCGGCATGACCACACGATTATATACCACGCCCACCAGCCCCCTTCTAAACGAGAAAATAATGAACCTTGAACGACCAACCGGTAGTTGTGTTGCTAAGCAACTTTGTAAAAAAAAAATGAGCAATTTTTGTTAATGTTGTTGTTTTTGTTGTTGTTGCTGCTGCTGCTGCTGTTGTTGTTGTATTAAATTTGGTGTAGTATTCAGAACAAATTATCTTTCATTGCGGCAGGGTGCCCGGTAGTCTCTAAACGATGCACTCCTGTAGCGCCCATAGCGCCCTCGTGAAATGACTCATGGGAAAATGAAGTCTGTATCAGCTTTAGGGCCTTCAAACGTAGACAGTGACAACAATATGCAGTGGTTACAAAATAAAATCTTCAAAGATAAAACTTACGCGAACCAACGGTTGTAGCTTCTCCAGAAGATGATTTTAACTTCCCTGGCTAGCTTGAAATGAATTACATGTGTTCCAGTCACCGCCGTTTTCTTGCCGTGATGTTTTGGATACTGGCAGGTCTTAGGGGGTTGCCAGTACTTTCCCAAGGTAAAACGATGAGCTGGACAAACCGTCATATTCTTAACCTGTTCTTCTGAGAGCTCTACAAAACCTGCTTTTGATAGGATTAGATCCTTTTCACAAACATTTTCCCTTGACAGGTGGTGATTTTGAAGATACGAGCTGATATCACCGTCGCAGCTGTTTAGGCCTACACAATCTGTAAATCCACGACTACTTCCGCACGTATCACCTGTAACTTCCGAGAGGGAACACAAGCCTGCCATCGCAAACAGCAAAAACAACGCAAAGCGCACAAAATAAATTCTAAATCTGTAGGGCAAATTGAGCATAATACTCTCGACGTCAGCTGTCTACAATTTGCATAAGTTAAATTTAGCACAAAGGGTTACGCAAAAATAGCAATTCGAAAAAATTGAATGAAAAAAGGCAAAGCTTGAAAGCAATTTCTAAAATCAAATATCAACAGTAAATAAGTTGTTTCTCAAGCACCCAGGATTTGGCTTAGCTTTTTAACGCGCATTGCAAAATAAACAAAATGTGGATGAGGAGAGCTGCCAAAATAACTTTGACATTCCAGCGTATCTACATCCTCTTACCTGTACAGCTGCAGTATCTTCGCGGTACATTATTATTTATTTTTTCTTGGCACTTAATCATATAACAAACGTTTTTACTTGTTAAATATGTTGAATATGGTATTTTTGTCATAATCCAAACCTTATGTTGGGCCAATTTCAGCAACTGTTTTTACGCGGAACTTAGGCAACTCACCCCGAAGCCGCTCGTTTTAGCTTTTTATTCCCAATTTTGCAGGAATATTTGGCAAACTTAATTAAGGAATTTCGTGCCTTATCCCGAGCAAAGAGCACGTTTTGAGAATATCTGCTTCGAGGTAATATTACTTTTTGCGGGAAACTTAGAAACAAAAAGCGGTGCAAAATTGTGTTATGCAACCTTTCGCGGCTGAATTAGCTATGTTGATCGAACTCCTGTAGTTTAAAAAGGTTACTGCCCAAAGTTTTTTTCCTGTTCCCGGTACACTAGCCTTACTAAACATGGATATTGGTCAAGGCACAAGATCACGTTATACTTTTGAGAAACACTCCTTCAACCAGCAGCATGTCCGGTTAAATTTTGCGAAGGCTTTTTGTGGGGCATTTTCAAAAAACATAATTAATGTTTCTTAAGCTCGATTTCTAATATTTCAAGGTTAATCAAAAGATGAATCATGGAATAAAATGATCTGTAAGTTTTATTGTATTGGAGTAAAAGGTAATTTTTCAGCGCCTTCAGAGCAAAGCCTAAATTTGACTCGAAAAAGAGGGATTTTAACGGTTTTGGACCATCCTTGAAAATCATCGCCAGAAGTATTAAAAAAAGCATTAAAAGCCAAATTATTGCCATTCTTGTTTATCGCATGGACTAATTGCCTTGCACAGATAATTTGAAGAAATTGTGTTTTCGACCGAAAATCGAGTGGTCGGTTCTTACACGGACAGCCTCTCGAGAGCGCGAATATTGGCCCGAGGTTTTGGTAATCTGGACTGAGAGCAGTGAGGTCGATGCAGAAAAGACCAAGGGCCGAAATTCTCCCAGTATAGTCCCGAGCAAGGTTTTTAAAGAGATTCATGTTATTTTACTGCCCGTTTCAATAATGGGTCGGCAATAGAGCAATCCGATTGGTTAATTTTAGTTATTGACTCTGCTCTGAACTAGCTTAGTCCTGTAGTAGGTTAATTCTTCGTGAATCGATAATTGCCTGTTAATACACTAAAAGTAAAACTGCGGAAACAAGAAAATTCAAAACAATTTAAATGCTCAGTTTTTCC